CTCTCTCTCTCTCTCTCTCTCTCTAATGTTTTCTGAATATGAATACCCCTGTGCTCGAGGAGGAACTGCTAGTTTTGCTGGAGAATCTCATTAGCATCGTAATAGCTTGCAGCCTTATTTGCATATTGCCAAGAGTGATTTTTTTCCCCCTTTGGATAAAGGAGAGAGAGAGAGTTGGTAAAAACTTTGAAGCTCCATATTTTATTTCATTATTTAAGTTAAATAAATTCTAATTGAAAGACGCCTTTCAATTATGTTTCCCTACTTGTATTAGATACAAATAGTTGACTTGTTGAGCATTTGCAGAGAAAACATCCATTACTGCTGAGATAAACAATATTTAGTTTTTTCTCATTATGAAAAAATAAATCACAAAATAAACAAAAATATCATAGTTTGTGCTTCAATTAATCTGGAACTAAAGACAACAAATGTGTCACCTGAGGGACATTTTAGCAATAAGGAACACAAACTCATTTTTGAAGGACTGCTGACAACATTATCTCAAAATTAGGATATTTAAAGACTAACATTTTGTGCCATGTACATTTGAACTGTTTTCATGCACATTAGGCAATTTCTTCTGATGCCTTCACTGTAAGCATGTGAAATCCCCTCTGCATACTTCATTACAGTTGACCTTTCCATGCGGTAATTGTGTGTCTCCATTTGTTTGACTTCGATATCGGACTTCATTTCAGTGGCGTATGACATATTTGTGATGTGAAAGCAATATTGACCAAACAGCAGTATCTCAGTCTCACACATATTCGTTTTCCTTGATGGTGACATTCTAAAGCCAAACCTGGAGATCTGGAAACCCTTTATATTTTCTACTGTAATAAAAAACAGAAAAAAAATAAATAAATCTAATTTCACAGTTTAACATGCTTGGCTTGTCTGACTTGTGTCACTTGAGCATGCAAAACCTAACTGTTGACTTCCCCCAAGTGATTTATGGGAAACAATTACCTTGACTTAGTTTAGTTGCGAGCTGCATAGCATAATTTATTTGTGTATTTTGTACATACATTATATTTTGTGCCTGAGTAGCGGACATAAAAGTAAATTAAGGAAGGCTATACTCAAAGAATCAAGGTAATTATTCTTACTAAACCTGTTTTCTTTTTATTTATTATACGAAACCTTGCTATGTGTACTGCGTTAAACTAACTGAGACTTGTTATAGCACTTGCATATCATTGCTCTTTTGTTGATTTTGATTGCTTCCATTGTCCTCATTTGTAATTCGCTTTGGATAACATCTATCTATCTATCTATCTATCTATCTATCCTATAATTTTTTTCAAAGTTACAAATTCCAAAGGATTATTGAAATAAATTTGGCAAGAAAATACTTTTACTTAGTATACTTTTTTTTTCGAAATTTTACTTGCTGTTTCTTTGTAATTGTTTGTAAATTTTATAGCAATTTCTAAACAACTTCTACAAAACCATTTTTGCATCTAGAACAACATATTTTTCAGTGTAAAACAGATTTGGTACTATATAAACCCTGAAAATCTTTCTGCTATTGTTTCTGCAAAAATCTTTCTCTATCTAATTGTACCACTATGCCACTGAACTACGCCAACAACCGGCATTGCATTGATTCAGTATTGAAGCCTGTTTTTCTCTCTTC